CGTGAGATCGTGACCTGAGCTGCAGTCAGACTCAACCGACTGAGCCACCCAGGTGCCCCTCACTGCGTCTTTTTGATGAATACGTTGCTTTGTTTTAATTCTAATGTTCTCTAAAAAGGCAGTTGACTCTGCCTCAGAAATCCCGCCTCTTGGTGCTTTGGACTGTGGACATTTGAGAAGGAAATAGACACCCGGCTTGTGACAGAATAGGATACTCCCATCCACTGGTTACCACAGGGACCTACGTCCAGTGACTCTGCTTCGCAACCCCCTTGGAATTGCACACCCCATGTCCTTTCTTTCTCTAGGACCAGAGAAAACCTGGGAAATTGTGTGAACGGACCATTTCACCCCCCGGGACCCTGGCACATCCCACTGTGGATGGAAAGTCTCAAGACAAGGCGTGGGTTGGTGAAGACACATCATCTCTGTCTACTTCTCCTCATTAGAATCTATTCTGACTAGAAGACTCTGGCAATCAGTTGCTGAGGGAAACGTTTCTGTTGAAAGACTTCCGGAAGAATACAGTTGCTGCCTGCCCTCCTCGAAGGAAGACCAAACCAACGTAGAGCCTTGTTAGATGTGCAGGGACCCGGGTGCCCAGAACGGAGAGGCTTGCAGAGCCCACGTGAGGCTGCCTAGGTGTCTCCTCTGGGTCACGGGTTTCATGCTCTGTTTCCCGATGTGCAAGACAGAGCCCAAGCTGCCCACCGACCTCTCTTTTGGGATCTGTAACAAGAGGGCGACCAAGGTAGTGTGTGGCGAAGCTGAGGAGGAAGTGGCAAGCTGCTTTTTGGCTGGTGGCCAGGCAGGTGTCCAGAAATAGAGCCTTGCTGCCCAACCCGGGAGCTCATAAACTGGCGGGAGGGGCCTTCTGTGAGCGAGCCATGCCAGTTTTCAAGAAGCATCCAGAATCACAGCTACGACCGTAATTCTGCCACATTTCTCTTTTTCCGGGTTCATTTTTTATTGCGGTAAATATATATCCAACATGGAACTTGCCGTTTTTAACCACTTAAAGTGTACAGTTCACTAGCTTTAAACACATTCACGTTGTTATGTGACCACATCATCATCCGTCCCCAGAAATTTTTCAACGTCTCAAACTGAAATCTGTACCCATTTAACAATAATGCCCATTCCTATCTCCCACCACCCCCTGACAACCATCACTGCTTTCTATTTCCATGAATCCGACTACTCTACGTACCCCATCTAAATGGAATCGTGCGATAAATTCATATTTTTGATGTTTATTTATTTTGAGAGAGAGAGACAGAGTGTGAGCAGGGGAGGTGCAGAGAGAGGAGACACAGAATCCGAAGCAGGCTCCAGGCTCTGAGCTGTCAGCACAGAGTCCGACGTGGGGCTCGAACTCATGAGCCATGAGATCATGCCCTGAGCCCAAGTCAACCGATTGAACCACCCAGGTGCCCGAATAAACTCATTTTTAGTTTACCTAAGTAATACATGTTTATATTCTCATAGAAAAAAAATCAAATTCTGAAATAACGAGTATAAATGTCAGGATAAATACTGAGATGTCCAAGAAATGTTAACTACCTTATTTTTCTGTAATCAAACCTAGTTTCTATTTCCAGTCCTTTTTTCTACACAGTAGCAGGCCCTTAATCTCTGTTAGTGTAGGGGCTCCCCAGCCATTGTCTCCAGAGGTGTCTCTAATTTTCTGGAGGTCTCCTGTTGTGCCAGAGGCACGGTGCTTGGGTATCAATACTTTTCCTCCTTGGCATCCACTAAGACGTTCGATGCTCTCTCAGGCTGTGGGTTCCTAGAAGCATAGCCACACCCCTAGCAAGGCCACACCCTCAGCCTTATCCAGAGGCTCCTCCCTCCCCCCCGTAGTGCCCCTCCCCCTTTCCCTCCCTCTACCTTCCCGCCTCTGGAGCCACAGGGGACTTGGCTGGGCTCTGTGAGGCCAATCACTTCTTCCTAGCTACTCAACGTCAGTTCTTGGTTCTGCAAGCCAGGTTGGCACTGGGTGAGCAGAAATCCTGAAGGGTGTCTTAGACCCCCTCTCTGAGCACACCCCAGTGCCGGCCAAGAACAAGAACATTGTCTTCCATAACCACAGTAACATTATCACGCCCACGAAGTTTGACATTGACATAATATACTAGTTTCTGATGTGGAGTCCGTAATCAGTTTTCTCCAAAATGCCCTGTATGACTTTCGGAAGAATCTAGGATCCTACGAACACCAAGGGGCCCTTCTAAGTCCTTGGATCCCTTGGAAGTCTCAGATGCACCTGGCCACCGAAGTTTTGGGTGGACTATTTTCTGCCTCTTGTTAAAGTTCTCTCCAGCAAAGGCGGAGTCCAGGGTGGATTCCAGAGTCTACATGAGCCGCGTCTTGATGCCCTTTGAGGTTCTATCCTATTTTCAGGTTTCGACCGCGGTCTCCCTCCCTAAGGCCAGTCCTCCTCCTGCTCACCGTGGTGGGGGTTGGGGAGTGAGGCCTGCAGCCCCCTCCCGCTGAGAAGTGAAGTAGGGGTCTGTGTGTGTGCAAGGGTGCTGTCTCAGCACCTCACAGGAGCCCTCCCGGGACCCCCAGGGGCCCGGACCCCACCCTCCCAT